AATTCTCTGGCAAGATGAAAGACTGCAAAGGATTTTTATTTCAGTGTCGTCTGATTTTCATGAACTCCCCTGGTTGTTTTCCCACGGACCTAAAGAAGATAACATTTATTCTCTCTCAGTTAACAGGAAGAGCCCTGGAATGGGCTCAGGCCAGATTTGCTTCCGACGAAAGTTTAAACTGCTATTTTTCAGACTTCATCTCAGAATTTAACCAGGTATTTAATCAAGAAACTGACCAGGCTATTGATTCCAGAGCCCTTTTCAGCCTAAAACAAGGAAATTCATCGGTGGCCGATTTTTCAATAAACTTCCGGGTTAAGGCGGCAGCTTCCGGATGGAACCAAAGCGCCTTGAAGGGAGCCTTCTTCATGGCCTTAAATGAACAGATTAAGGATGAACTAGCAACCCTCGATGAGCCTGCTTCCCTCGAGGATTTAATTCGCCTCTCCATTAGACTAGATAATAGGATTCGAGCCAGAAACAGTTCTAAGAAGCAGAGTAATTTCTCTCCTGCCTCTCTTAACGTGACTGTGTGTTCTCCCTCTACAGAGCAGATGCCCACTCAGAGGTCTAAGCCCCAGCCTCTACCATTGCCTGTTCAAGCCTCTCATTCGGGGGAAAGGGATTATGAACCAATGCAGGTGGGACACACTAGGCTCACTACAGAGGAGAGACAGAGGCGTTTCCTAAGTAAGTTATGTATCTACTGTGGCGAGAGTGGACACTTCATCGCCTCCTGCCCGGCAAAATCAAAAGCCGGGGCCCGCCAGAGGATCTGAGGAGTCTGGCGGGCCAAATAAATACAATAAAATCTCCTCGTTTGTTGCTGCCTGCCACCCTCTTCTGTGATAACCAAAGTCTCTCTTTCTCCGCCTTCATCGACTCAGGCTGTGAGCGTAACCTAATCGACTCTAACCTCGTCCAACAACTCCAGATTAAAACCGTTCCTCTCTCTCAGCCTCTCAGTGTGTCCGCCATAGACGGGAAAAGACTCCACCGTGTTACCCACCTAACCCAGCCCCTCGAGCTACTTCTGTCAGGTAACCACCGAGAGACTATAACTTTCTTTGTTTTTCCCTCTGCATGTTCCCCGCTGGTCCTCGGGTTCGAGTGGTTAGAGAAGCATAACCCTCACATTAATTGGACTAAACGTCTTCTGGAATCATGGTCCACTACGTGCCACGAAACCTGCCTTCGTTCTGCTGCCTCTATGGTGGGGCCTCCTAGTGGTGGGGGGGAGATGGACTCTCCTGACCTTTCTTCAGTTCCCTCCGAGTACCATGACTTAGCCCCTGTCTTCAGTAAGGTCAGTGCGACGTCCCTACCTCCACACAGACCATACGATTGCGCCATTGAACTTTTACCTGGTGCACCTCTTCCTAGCAGCAGATTGTATAACATTTCCAAGCCCGAAAGAGAAACAATGGAAAAATACATCAACGAATCATTAGCTGCTGGAATAATTCGCCCTTCATCCTCTCCATTGGGCGCTGGTTTCTTCTTCGTGGGCAAGAAGGATGGTTCCCTGAGACCTTGTATTGATTATCGAGGTTTGAATCAGATCACAGTTAAAAATAAATACCCACTGCCTCTTCTCGCCTCTGCTTTTGAACCTGTACAGGGTGCAACAGTGTTTTCCAAGCTGGATTTAAGAAACGCCTACCATCTCCTTAGGATACGTGAGGGCGACGAATGGAAAACTGCCTTTAAGTCACCCTTGGGTCAATTCGAATATCTGGTGATGCCCTTCGGTTTAACAAACGCTCCTGCCTGCTTCCAGGCTTTGGTTAACGATGTTCTCAGAGATTTCCTCAATGTATTTGTTTTTGTGTACATTGATGACATTCTCATTTATTCCAAGGACCTCCAGGAACACAAGAAACATGTTCGTCTTGTCTTACAGAGACTACTGGAAAACAAACTGTTCGTGAAAGCCGAGAAGTGCGAGTTCCATCAACCTTCAGTCACCTTTTTGGGGTTTGTGCTCGAGGGCGGCCAGGTAAAACCTTCAGAAGACAAAATAAAGGCTGTCTTGGACTGGCCAGTTCCAGAGAACCGAAAGCAGCTACAGAGGTTTTTAGGTTTCGCCAACTTCTATCGCCGGTTCATAAGGAATTACAGTCAGACCGCCCTTCCTTTAACCTCACTAACCTCCATCAAACGATCTTTTCAGTGGACCCCCAAGGCTCAAACAGCTTTTGAAAAACTAAAATCCTTGTTTTCCAGAGCACCTGTTCTCATTCAACCAGATCCAACCAAACAGTTCATCCTAGAGGTGGATGCTTCAGACTCCAGGGTTGGAGCTGTTCTCTCTCAAAGGCTCGACTCAGATCAAAGGATTCACCCGTGTGCTTTCTTCTCCCGTAGGCTATCTCCAGCCGAACAGAACTACGACGTGGGTGACCGTGAACTCCTGGCTATTAAGCTGGCATTGGAGGAATGGAGGCATTGGCTGGAGGGAGCTGAGCATCCGGTTCTCGTGTGGAAAGACCACAAGAACCTTGCTTACATCCAGTCAACCAAACAGGCAAATCCTCGCCAGTCCAGGTGGTCAATCTTCTTCTCTCGCTTCAATCTCATCATTTCATACAGGCCCGGATCCAAGAACGTGAAGCCCGATTCTCTCTCTCGTCTCTACTCCGTCGATCATCCTGAGACTCCTGAACCAGTCCTCCCAGCATCATGCACCATTGGAGTGGTCAACTGGGAGATAACGGATCTAATCAATTCTGCCCTAGCCACTGAACCAGACCCAGGTACCGGTCCGCCTAATCGTACAATTGTCCCATCTTCCGTCAGGTCCCGTCTAATCCAGTGGATGCATGCCGCCAAATTCACCGCTCATCCTGGTGTGAGTAGGACAGTTGCTCTCATCTCCAGGCGCTTCTGGTGGCCCACGCTTCATAAGGACGTTAAGGAGTATGTGTTGGCCTGCCCAACATGCGCACGCAACAAAGCCTCACACCAACCTCCTTCGGGCCTGCTTCAACCTCTACCTGTTCCCTCGCGTCCATGGTCCCATATAGCCATAGATTTTGTCACCGGTCTCCCTGTCTCCAGAGGTATGTCCACCATACTTACTATTGTTGATCGTTTCTCGAAGTCCTGCCACCTAGTTCCCCTCAGGAAACTCCCCACGGCCTTCCAGACAGCCCAGCTACTCATTAAGCATGTCTTCCGGCTTCATGGTATACCCCAGGAAATCCTCTCGGACAGAGGACCTCAATTCATCTCACAGGTATGGAAGGCTTTCTGTTCAGCTCTCGGCTGCAAACCATCTCTAACGTCAGGTTACCACCCTCAATCTAACGGCCAGACTGAACGTATGAACCAACAACTGGAATCCACCCTCCGCTGTCTCACCTCCAACAACCCCGTGGATTGGAGTCAGTACCTTCCGTGGATTGAATATGCCCACAACTCACTCCGTTCTGCATCAACTGGACAGTCCCCGTTTCAGGTCAGTCTCGGATATCAACCACCTCTTTTCCCCGCAGATGAGAGAGAGATATCGGTGCTGTCCGTCAATCATCACATTCGCCGTTGCCAGAGGATCTGGAGGGAAACCATTGCCACACTCAATCAGTCATCAGCATCTGCAAAACGTTTCGCCGACGCCAAGAGACGTCCCGCCCCCGAGTACGCTGAGGGCCAGGAGGTGTGGCTCTCCACTCGAGACATCCCTCTCAAGGGGATGTCTCGAAAACTCTCCCCAAGATTCATCGGACCCTTTAGGATCTCTCGTGTAATCAACCCCTCAGCTGTTCGTCTCCAGTTACCTCAGTCCCTCCGGATCCACCCCACTTTCCATGTGTCCCAGATCAAGCCCGTCTCTTCGAGCCCTCTGTGCCCACCGTCCAACTCCCCACCACCCGCCCTGGAGGTCGATGGCCATCCGGCTTTCACAGTGCGCCGCATCGTGGACTCCCGTCGACGAGGTCGCGGATGGCAGTACCTCGTCGACTGGGAGGGCTACGGACCGGAGGATCGCCAGTGGGTCCCAGGCTCGTACATCCTCGATCCAGCACTCATCGAGGAGTACGAGCGTTCCTGCCCATCAACCTCTTCCGGACCGCCAAGGGGCGGTCAAGGGGGGGTTACTGTTGGGAGCTGGAGAAGATTCCATCTTTCTCCAGCAGAGTCCGCTGTGGATCCTCTGAGGGAGCCTCCTGCACAGCTGCAGCTCATCAAGACCATCAGAGGATCCACTATATAAGCTGTCTTCAGACCTTGCCTCAACGCCGCAGTGTTGCTCCAGTTGGTCAGCGCTAAAGCCTAGATTCTCAGTGCATCTCCATGACTTTGAATCCAGTCTGGATTCTAATTATTGTCTCTGTTTTCCAGGAAACCTGTGTCTCCTCCTTGAAAGCTCAGGAAGAGCTAACCTGCCGAGCCGACCCTCTGAGCCAAACCCTGAAGACTCACAGAGAACTCCCAAGCAGCTCAGGACTAGAGCTGGGAAACCAAGCCAAGGTCTGTTCAAGCTAAGACGTGAGACGCTGAAGCAGCAAACGGACTCTGCTGACAAACCCCTCTCCAGAACCAACAGTGACCCTCCCAAAGTAAACCTCAAGAACCCTCAAGGTACAGACAGTAAACCCGTGGAAATCAAACCCTGTCAACAGTCACTTACTGTGCTGTCTCTCACGCAGACTCCGGTGAACCAGAACCCAGACTGGAACCAGAATCAGTACATTCTGTGTGTTAGTGCTTTAATAAACTGTTCAACTTTTCATCCTTGTGTCCGTCAGTGGTGTTCTGCATAACTGGGTCTCCTTTAGTGAACCCATCATGACAGAACCAGAGTGACCTATTGGCATATAGATAAAAAAATGCACATAATCTAACTTTTCCTTAAGCAGGGTATTTTTTCTCATCAAAGAAACATTAGACCAACATATAATACTTGGAAAACATAAAGAGAAAAAAAAACAGAAACAACAAATATGTCTTTTATTGACAATAAGTGATGATTCTTTATTAAGGCAACAATTCAGGAGGAGTTTGTCAAAGTGTGGTTTAATAAATTAAAGTGATCATGCAAAGGTTGTATAGAAAACATTACAGTACAAAATTAATTTCACAAAAAGTTTTTTTTTTTTTATAGCACAATAACACCGTTAACTGTCAGGCAAATGCACCAGTGTTTACAGACAAAAAGTAGATTCAACTAAGAACTGTGGATCACTTACAAACGATCAAGGAGATAAAAAAATACAGCATCATAAAAAAATCACCTAAGAAAATTTAGTAGCTTATTCATACATCCAGATGTATAACGTTTCACAAAAATAACTGCAAAGTATGTAAAAAGGAACATGGATAATAATTACTTACTACACGACTAAAGCAAAATCACAGTCTGAACACGTGCTAAATTACAACAAGTCAAAAGAGACCTTGCACCATGCATGCTGGTCTATCAACTTCTAAAGCAACCCCGACAAAAATGGGGAGTCAGGAAATAGGTGTAGTGTGCATAATCTGCAACCAGATGTTAGTCCATATGCAAGGCATTTCAAAAAGTACCCATCACTATGATACAAAATAAGTCTTTACACAAAAGAGAAGTTGCAAAATGTTGTCTCAAATGTCCTGTTTAGAGCTTAAAAGAGCACATCTTCGTTTTTGATGAGGACCTCCACCACCTGCCTCTGGTAGCGGACGTCGTTCAGTGCTGTCATGGCATCCTGGTTGGGTGCACGCATGAGAGTGGGGCCAAAGACAATACCGAGGTTTTCCGCACTCATCAGGTTAAATTTCTCATTCTGTGTAACCCTGGAATATTTCAGATAGACATAGATACACCTCCATGTCAGTGGTAGTGAAATTAAACTTTTTTTTTTTTTTTTACTTCATTCTGTCTATTAGCTATAACATGGTGTGCTTGCATAACTCACCTTTTTAAATGGGCCATGAGGTACTTGAGAGTTTCCTTGTGTGATGGTGGCAGCAGAGCGAGAGCCTCCCGGAAAGCCTCAAGCTTCTTTTCAGGATCTGTGAACTCTGCCAAATGGAGAGGATGACGTGATCAGCATGCAAAGATTATTGAAAGGGACTCAAGGGGCGCAGCTCAGGGGCCCGAGGGGTAAAGTGGCTCAAAACATCTACATAATAGTTTTAATTAAAGAGATATGTTGTCCGATAGTCATTTAGAAACCCACAGAGAGGCCGCAACAATGGCATGCTAAACCATAGTAGAATACTAAAAAAGGAAAAGAATCAAAATACAGCAGACATTAATTTTTAAATACTCAACTTTCAATTTAAAACTGATGAATGAAATAAATCTGAATTTAGGAAGTTTTGATTTAGAAAAGTACAAAATCTATGAAAGAAATGAAACCCTGCCTTCCTTGAACAGAAACATTTGATCAATAATTATTTTTTCTGTTCGCCCGGGGAACAGATTTGATACCACAGAAACCTAGTGATGCTTTCTCTTTAAAAAAATTTTCAGGATTCTCAAAAATCAGATATTCGATCAGATATTCGACAAGGAAAGTAAGAGATCTGTTCAAAATTCATACTGCTGAACACATATAAAATGAAATAAAAGTTGCTATTATAAACAAATGAACTTGGCCCTCCTGAGGTTGTGATGCTCTGTAAAACACCGACTCACAGAGGGCAGACAAACACCTATTTGTACAGATGTTACTTTTGTGGTTGAACGTATAAAAATAACAACCCTAAATAGTCAACAATTTATATTCAAAATCAGAATATTTTGAACTTGTGTTTTATTGAGGACCGTTTGCCTGTAACAGACTGATATACTATCAACATTTAGAGTTTGGATGCACAAAACTTAAAATAGGAAATGCTCTATCCTGCATGGGCATGCAGTGTTGGGAATGACGATGTAGCGAAGACAACGCTCATTTATTTAGAGGGTTAAAAAAACTCCAAATCCTGCTGTTAAAGGGTTTCTGCAAATTGACTAGTTTGAATTCTGCATGCTTTTTATGAAATCTTAAGACCTATAGAAAGAGTTGTATGATTGAAAATAAAATACAAATGGGATGCAATAAACAAAATATGTGGCAATTAGACTATTTTCATATGTAGCACTCCCAAAGAAAAGTGTATATAGGAAGGAGAACTAAAAAGGGAAAAATAATCTTTTGGCATGAATGAATAGCTAAAGTAAAGGACACCTGGTAACTGAGGCACCCTGCATTTTAAATAATTTATTGCGTTTGAAATGTCCAGACATAACTTTCTAACCCCAGTGGAAACAGTGAAGAATGTAAGTACTTCCTGTTGTCCGCCTAAAGCATTTGTAAAGAGGAGTGGAAAATATAATAAGAGCCCGCTGGTTTGGAGCAAGTTAAGACAGGTTTTACTGCCCAACACCATTATGCAACTTGCATTGTCAGCATTAATTATTTATTGAAAAGAAAAGGAAAAGGCAATAAATGCATTGATTCAACCACATTTCGTGCAATGCCTTGTGTTCTGATAAAAAGGTCCCATTTGGGGATGTATGCTTTTGTTTTTCATTTTAGATTTTTTGCATCATTTTAGTTTTTTTTAACTTACTGTTCTAAATATTTATGTGTTTTGTTGTGTAATTTGCTATTTTTATATCTAGTCGATCACATTTAAATTTAACTTTGCTTATAGGGAAAAAATCAAACAAAGGATTTAGAGCTGAAAATTACCAATAGCTGTAAATGTTCTGTACAACACATCAACTGCGTTCTGTCTATTGTCAGTACATCCTGTAGTATAGATATAAATGCAATTCTTTTATAGAAATGCAGCAAATATCTTAGCAAGGAAATCTAATATTACAGATTTATTAGGAAGGAAGCTCTGCCTTTCTGCTATCTACCAGTATAATTGCCTCCTGAAGGGGTAGGCGCCTTCTCTGTTGTACTTTTATTCTTTTTTTTTTCTTGGTGTATCTGTTTCTTTTAATGTATATTGGACCTTGAGTCTGTAATAAAATCAATCAATACCAGTACATTTCCTTAGTTAACAGATTATTTCACCCATCTAATGTTTTTTCCTAAAGCCAGTTTATCAAAGATTGTACTTATTCTTATGCAAATTAAATGTAAAATGAAAATAAAAGCTTTCTTTGTTGATAATGTTTGTGTGTTTCAGCTTTTCTTAAACAGTGACATACTTGTGGCCTCGATGAACCTGGGGTAAGCGTCGTAGGAGATCACAGGAACAGGCAAATCCCTGAGATATAGCTTCAGTGCACTTGTGATGATATTGATGTCTTCATAGGCATTCACTGAGATATCTGTCTTCTCTCCATCTGCAGAGATGTGTGATAGGACAAGGTAGATGGAAGTGAGAAAACGAGATTGCTCGCTCTGCAAATGCTCACATCAGCACTTTCACATCATAGGGTGAACTGAGGAGTAAAGAAACTGTGTTATGGTTGCTGGAAGAAATCCAATTTCATCTCTCTCTCTTATTTTTTTCTTCCAAAGTATCAGCTATCATCCCTTTGGCCTGTTTAATTCTGACTTTGGCTCATTTATGTATGCTTTCCAGAGGAGAGCATGGCCTACTTGTGCTGGCAGACTGAGCATCACAGAGCTGTGAGCTGGAATGACACTCTGTCATGGATGATATCCTGCATGCCGATCTGGCTCTGGGTTCAGTCCGCTGCTGCTTGGTTTTTCTAACAGTTAAAATTCAAACTGCATTCAGCCACGACAGGTTTATTCTCACTAAGTTGATGACTGAATCCCAACACGCCCACAGCTAAGACAGTGTGACCCCTCTAAGGCCCCCTCCCGTCTGTCCACACAGTGAAATCCTGCGTGAGAGGGAGATGTCAGAATCTCCTCTTCTGGATGGACACTAATCCTGTCAATTTATGTTTAATCCATAGAGATCTGATTTCTATGGACATGCAAACAGGCAGAGTCTTCAAGTGTCATCTTTGACCTGACACTTAAACTTGATATATAAAACAAAGAAGACAGACCTTTATCAAATCCCATCTTGACTTCTTCCACTGAATCACTGAACCCAGATATCCTGTAGAGGCCCTCTGATCTCAGTCCTTACAAAAAAAACACAGAAAAAAAGCACAGCTTTTAACTGTCAGACATACCGACAGGAGAGACATAGACACTCCTAACACACATGTCTAATTTGGGAACTAATATTAAAGACAAAACATCCTCAGTGTTGCGCAATGAAGAAAACATGGTTGCATGGAAACAGTTTTCTGCATCACTGAGCAAAATAATAAAGACATAAATCAAACTTAGCTACAGACAGACATTGGAGGGCAGACAATGTGACTTCCCTGAATGATTTAACTGAAACGCAATCAGCTAAGGCAGCAGGAAACAGAGTAATATTTTCCTCATTACACATTTGCAATTACCAGCAATCTCATCACTCCTCTCTGCCTCCACTTGCAAACAAAAACATCAAATTAGTTGGTAATTGAATCAGACTTTAAACACTACAACCCAAAGGGTACACACACTGCACTTGAAAGAAAGCTGTTTGATAGCAAATGAACACAAGGCAGCAAAAGCTTTAAAGTTACCCAGAGGCTAAAAGCTTTTAAACATTAAATGTTAAGATGTGATGCATTTCTACAGGTATAGGGATTCATTCAAATTTTTCAACAATAAATATATTTCTTTTGTCTTTGTACTGCTTTTCAAAGCAAGTCTTTGGTGCTTTAAGACTGTAATAAACTATAACATCAATGGATCACAGGGATCTTTTTCCCTTTCCTCTGATACATCTTCAATTGAAATAAGTCTTTAAGAGATGACTTAGGTATAATTAAATCTAGGTATAAATACATACATTAGCAACTATCAGGTGTGCGCTTGACAAATCTAGCCTAAATGATAGAGAGGTCTGAATGGCGCAAGTCATACCATGCTCAGAAAATCCACATCCCTAATAGGGGAAATACCATTTGGAGAAAGTGGTCAGCTAAACACCAAAATTTAACTTTCTGGCCAATGCAGTAAATTCAAATATACATGTTGGGGTCAGGATGATCCTGTGGGGAAGCTTTTATTTAGTTTTTCAGAGTAGGAGGTGTTGAACAAAAGTAGGGTATTGAATTTCCCTTCCACTTGAAAAGTAAGCATAACATAAAAATCCCAATTAAAACAATTCAATGTTTGTAGATGTGATATGACTGTGCTAATATTCAAGAGAAAATGCTAATCTGTGTTTAAAAAGTCAAAAAACTAACCTCTGGACTCGATTTCTCGTATGCACATGTCCACCACCATGGGCCGGGCTGTGTTGTAGGCCTTTACCAATGTTGTGAGGTCGCAGCTGTAAACCTTGCGGATGTGTCTCAGGTTGGGCTTGCAGTCGTCGGGTACCTGAGCCGAGCACTCTTTGTGAACATTCATACCACAGTCTATAAAAAGAGGAGTGGGATCATTAGTAAGCAGCTTTGATGAGGGGTTTTTGCTCACTTGAATGCATTTGGTAACAAATACACTACAGAGCTCAGCGGAGGATTTCTTAGTGTTTTTATTTTTTATTTTAGCTGTTTGAATGTCACAGAACCTCTTGAGACTCCTTGCTGCGTTGGAGTAACCTTCAAATTCTCTTCCGAATGGTCTTAAATGAGTTCAAATGAACTAAATGAGGAAGGATGAACTAAAAGACAAGACTTGAATGCAGTGCAGTGTTTAAATTGTGCAAATATATTTACAAGACATTATACGGATTCCAACTAGAGTTTTAGAAGCATATCAGGAAAAGCAGAACATATTGTGTCTTTGTCTCAGTCACAGCATTCTAGAACTTGAGGCGCAGCTTCTCTTTTATTGTTTCAAGAACAGAGCATCAGCAGACAGAGAGAGAGAAAGAGAAAAGGAGAGAGAGAGAGACTGCAGCCCTCTCTAACAGGGACACATGTAGGGAGTTGGAGGCACAGTGAAAATGCTGGTGCCCAGAGGAAGGACGGAGCGCAGGGCTCTATTCTTTTCCAAATCTAAGCTTGCACACATTGTGAGTGGAAGCAGTGATTGAGGCGCTGCAGGCTACAGAAGACCTACTTTCCCAGACTGAAATGGGCCATCTCTTTAGCTCTTTAGATCTTTGATGGTCTTGTGTCTTCAAGTGCTATGAGGGTTTTTTTTCTTTCTTCACAACTGCAATCAGCCATTTGGCACAAAAAAGGCATTAAAATGTACGTTTACAAGCTAGAGAAAATATGTAACATTTTCTTCATTTTAAAAGAGGAAAAAAAAAGCATTGGAGGATATTTAGATTAATTTGGGTCCCTGGAGAAATTCGTACCTACTGAATTTATATGCATTGATGCAGAAATGTAATTAAGTTAAGAGATTATTCTCTTAAAGACACGAGACGGGCTGTATAACAGGGATGTATGTGTCATTGGTTGCATCCCTGCTGAGCTATCCCTGTGCATGAGAGGATGGCAATGGTCCTGGGTCCCAGGTGGGGGAGGCTGATCCCAAGGGAGCTTAGATTCTGGGTTTTGCTATTCTCACATTTGAAAAAGGGTTGTTAATTTTCTTATCAGCACATTACCACTCAGTCTAGAAAATATGTTGGATAAACTGGAAAAAAATGGAAATCTAGATAAGTTATTTTTCCTACAATAAGTGCATTTGTTCTTGGATTGAGCAGGTAAAAGACACATTATGCCAATGGAACAAGACAATTTACATTTAAAATAAGAAAACACAATTGCATTGTCTTATTTCCAGTGCATTTTATCTAAATATCTTTCTTTTAAAAGTAAAAATACTAATTCCATTGGCAAAGCATTTCATTTACCCACTCAAATTAAGAGTAAATACACTTAATTTAAGAAATTTTTGCTTATTTCTAGATCGTTTTTACACTGTGCCTTACCGCCAAGAAGGATTCTGTTTTCTGTAAGTTTCCCTTTTTGTATATATTATTTCAAGCACTTGGGTTAAATAAGGCTTGACCTTTGAGATTGAAAAAGGCTAAATTTCAATGTGTGTGTGCAGAAAATAGAGCTCATTTCCACACAGCCCCAATTCTGCACCTCATTAAAGAGATATGCCAGCTTTGTTTCCCTTTACGGGCATGATGGGATGAGGCTGGGTGAGTCTGTGGGTGGGTTGGTGGGTGGGTGGGGGGTTCACTCTGCTGAGGAGGAAATGTGCCACAACAAGCGCAAGCAGATCTTCGCTCTCTGGCACAGGGCCAAAAACAGTTCACACATAAAAAAAGAAACAGGGGGTGGAAGAGGGTTTGTTCTTGTTTTTGGTATGCAAATGTGAGAATCATGGGAGAATTTGCTGCCCCAGATTCAGGAGGCTGGTGTTTAGTCTGAAGGAATGATGTGTCTGTATGTAAGTGGCTGATAAAGATTGGCTTCCACCATATGTAGCTTTATATGGATTGTTGTCAGGGCTTAGCATCAGTATGTTAATAATTAATATCAGAGCTCTTGCAGAGTTATGTGACACACTTTGTTGCATCAATAAAACATCAAAGAAACACATCAGACTGGGTTACAGCAGTGAGATAGAAATCTCACCTGGAGTATTTGACAAGTAAGAGATCAAACGCAGTCAAAGGATTTTACTCACAACCTAAGAACTGATCAAATAAAGGAGGACAAAACATAGTTGGGGAGTATAGACAACATGTTGATTAGAATTTTAAGGTTGAGTTTCTATCGGTGTGCTTAAACATGCTAATACAGCTTTCAAGAAAGGCTGTAAAAAGGAGTTTTACCTGCTTTGAAGGCATGAAAACCCATCCTTTTTAAGTTTTTGGAGCAGAATTGACATCGCCCCGCAAGAGAGAAAAGTATTTTTTCTAAGATTTGGTAAAATTTGCAAATAGTTGCCAATAGTTAAACTGTCTTTGGTGCTCTATTTTAGCGCATATCATGTGTAGTACTAAAACAGCTGCCTATAAATATATGTATTTTTGAAAGGATGAAGATTTTTACATTAACTCCAAGATTTCCAATAGGCTACCAGCATTTCTAAAATGGTAAAATGGATTTGCTGTATCCTTCTCCTTTTTTATTATTTATTGCCAAGAGGTCTATACATTGCAAAAACAAAACTTCCCTTTAAGGATTTTTTTTTATCTTTATTTTTATTTTTTTACATCAGTGTGCTCTTACTGAGTTCATTTTAAAAACATCACTTAATCTTCTAGCTGTGTGCCTTTATCAGGAGAAAGATCGTTGGTAATGTGACTTTAATTAGTCTGATACATTTTCTGATTGGAAAAAGATGGGATTTTTGAGTTTCCAACTGGTTGGTCACGGATCAGTGCTTCTCTTCTTTAAATGTACCGAGCCTGGAAAGCATAATCCATCACCAGAGATGACAAAAAGTGCTTAAAAAACATGAACTCCATTTGACTTAGTACTGTATATATGCTCAGCCCCAAAAAGCTGCACATTTTTTCCCCATTAAATCATCTCAGTGGATAACTCAGAAAGCTTTTGTTTATGTGATAATAAACAAAGAGTCAAACATCCACGACTGAAGCAGATTTGATAATAATGAAATTTTTGTCTTTGAAAGTAATTTTTCCTCATGACTGACCCACTTGCTACTTAGAGCTGACAAAAGTGGGTCAAAAATAGGGTTTTACATCCCATTGCATATCTGTTACATCACAACCAGAGAGCACTCATTTCACTCTGTTGTACAATCAATAATCCGCAAACTGGTGTTGGGAGTTTTGGATTCAAATCCAATATTTCAGCACCAGATGTACTGTAAACCAAATAATCAATATAGAGAAATGCTCATTTAAAAAACCCCCACCAGTGTCACAAAGACATGTAGCAAAGAGGTGAAGCAGGGTATTTAATTTTTATTTTTATGTAATGAATAGAACATACCTGCACATTTGACCCCCTGAGCCATCACTCCCCACATGAATCTAGCACAGTGTTCGCACCAGTGAGGCCCCCGGAAGGTGTGAACCTGCAGGAGAGAAGACAATAATGGAAAAGAGTGCAGACATTTAACCCATGTTATTTTCACAGAAACCTTTTCATATATTTCCACTTCTTTTTACCTGTGGTTTCATGTGGGAAATATAACAAACCACCCAGGGTGTATGGGAAGTGGGACAATACATTTTGGCAAAATAAAAATATCGTATTTGAGCCCCTAAATAGATTTTAACTCACTGGTGATGAAGAACATGTCTATTCAAATGACTAATTATAAAGGGTCATTTACATGTGTTTTAAGGAATCAGCACAACAAATCTCTATTAGATTATTCTACACCAAAAAATATAAGTTAAAACAAAAGCAAATAATTATTAAACCTTCTTTTGGAACAAAAACAGAGAAGTAATTATTTTGTTACTGGTATCAGCACCATTAAGACCAGCATAAAAATCTTTTAGAATCAGACTGAACTATTCTTAACTTATGACAATGATTTATTATCATGAGATATGTGAAATACCTGTATTAATTCAAAATTAAAATATTGGTGATCCTATATTATAAAATATTTATTAAATATGGCTGCAGCGTCTCCTATGGCTCAGGAAATAACATGATTTAGTTCCAGCTGTTTCACCACTGTTATAATGGACATTATGGAAATGGGATTCAGCCATAAAATTGAAGGTGGAGGAGACTGTGGACAACTTATTCCTTCCACACAGTGAAGGTATAAGTTGCTGGGAGACTTCAGCGGAAACATTAGAGCAAAGGTTGCTCCCACACTCCAGTGGGTAACAACAGCCCAGCCAATCAGAGAGGCCCCTGAACCAAACAAGAACAAACCAGTACTCTTCCAGTTCCTGCAGCAAATTAATAAAGGACACAGAGGGAAACGTGTTTTTCTATTTGTTAGGGGCTGTGGGGAAAAAACAAACACAACATAAATCTTATAGGGATTAGATATTAAAAGTCTCATATTGTGGTTTGTTGTTTTCTCTTTTAATAAAGGGATAAAGGTAAAACCTCCCTTTATATGAGAGTGATGACAGCACAGCATACATTTGATAAGCATTTGCTCCTATAAATGCTCCTATAAACTGCTTCTATAAATAATTGTATATTTGCTGTTTAATATAATTTTCTTCTTGTTTACATTTTGTAAACAAATTATTATACTAAATAAAATTAGTATAATCATTTTATCTCAAAATATGCATTTCTTGCAGTTTAATTATCACTTCTTGTGTTTATTTATCATCACAACTGCCTCCTTAAAATAATTTAATCTGTCCTTAAGACCAGCATCATTTTGTTTAACCGTATCATTTGTTTCTTTATCATTGTCCTCTGTTTTTATCTGATGGAAAGCACTTTGCGTTGCCCACTATGCGTATGAAAACCAGTCTATGAATAAAGATTAATGGATGAATTACAGATGCATTGTACCAGATTAAATTAATAACTATTGGGTCATACATTTCTTCCATTAAAAATGTAAATATAAATCATAATTAAGAAGCATGAGTTAAGATAAAAACTTAAAGCAGTTTTTGTTTTTTTGAATACAATCTGTGGCACCATAAACCCATTCTAATCTATTTTCAATTCCTTATTATGAAATCTAAAGGATTTTACTTTAGTGGCATTTCCATTGGGGTCTGTTTTGTTTTTCTTTTACTGCAAATTCAAAATACTTTCAATTTAATTAACTTTCAGGATGTTTACTGGGTTGAAATTAGAAAAAAAGCTCAGTTTTGTGAGTCAGTTTTATGATTTTTAATGATGACAGCAAAACATCATCAGTGATGTTCAATATGACAAACTTCACAAAGGACAAAGCAGCAGGAAGAGATTAGCAGTTTAAAAACAGTTATCGGCTTGCTGCTGTTCTCTGTCCCAATAAAAACCCAAACTGGAGCCAAACAGGGATGCACTGCTCCAGCCTTTCACCCTCATCCAGATTCATAATCTCTCCATCTGGTGCTCTTACTGACAGCAGTGCTGATAGAACCTCTTTGGACAGACCAAAACAGCTACGTTTCCCACCCCCCCTCTCTGCTCTCCCAGTTAAAAAGCCCTCCGGCAAAACGTGAAGCCATGAAACCACAGTTTTGTAGAGACATCTTACCTTAAAGTTGTGGACTTTCTCAGACCTGGGCTCCCGGTTATCCTCCTTCAGTGTGGCTCTGCGCACCAGTGAGGTGAACTGTGAGTAGGCTAATAGTTTAAGTGGTTGCCAAAAAGTGGCTGAAGGTTTCTGTGGCCCCATCCTCATTCCCAGAGCCGCAGCCAGAATGTCCTCCTGACTGGCCTCTCTCTTGGCCTTTTGCACCAGAGGCTTCTCTTTCTTTTGAACATCATAGGACTCTCGAGATGGCATTCTGAGGCTTCAGTCCCCAAACAGGACAAAAAGATGAAGAAAGTGGAAAAAGTCCTAAAGAAAAGAGGATAATCTCCTTGATTTTTAGAGGAAATAACTGTCAAACAATATGAGTTGCATGTTTCCAGTTAGATAAGCACATTGACGGCATAATAGTGGCAAAAAGTATTAAAAACACCTTTAGATAAGAAAAAAAAAGTAGTCAGAATCTTCACAGAGCAGTGACAGCAGATGAAGTGCAGCCTCTATGATTGGAGTGCCAGGTTTTATACAAAGGGGTGCAGCCTTGGATGCTCATGTGCTTCCCTAGAAACTGCAAATGCAGATGAGATGAGTGGCTGGGCTAATCCTCTCCTCCCTGTGCAGAGCCGATACTCTCCCCTGGAACAGAGACAGCACAATGTTGTGTGTGGATGCTGAAATAGGAGGGCTGCAAAGAAGAGAGGGGGAGGAGGATGGAGGTGGACCCTCTAGTAGTTGCAGCAGATTAAATGGATCCCACCAGCCAATCACAGTGTGGATAAACCGGCTTTGTAGTAGCCTCTACCCCGCCTCCCCCACACCATGCAAACCATTTCAGCAGGATGACATGAAATGAGAGTGGGATGATAATAAGCAATGAATGAGTCATGGATCCAGAGTGGGCTTCAGCCTGGGAGCTTGCGACAGCATGGGGGCCGTTAGACATGAAGCTATTTTCAAATCCAGGGTTGCCACAGAAACCGGTGACGACTGAAGCCTTGAAGGGCAAAGACGCACAAACTGAAAGCACCACGCTGAAACAGGAAATGCATCTATGTGTGCCATTATACTGAGTAATGCAGATAAAGTTTATGTTTTAGATCATTTAGAGTAAAACTTCATCAAAATTCTAAAGTTTTGATGGTTTTGAAATAAGACATATTCATTGTAAATTTCCTTTTTTCTGCCACTATTAAAACCTTTTAATCCAAACCTCAGATTTATTAGAATGACCACATATTTTACAGACAGATATAAAGTTAGCCTTTGTCTAGATATGACATTGACTGGCTCTCAAAGCAGATATCTGTAATTTTCTATTCTTTATTTTTCAGAAACATGAAAACTATTTAAAAGGGACATAGACCTCACATTATGTACAAAACACTCCAGGGTCCAGATAAACTGCAGAAGCCGGCAGTTATAAATGAAACCTCATTATTGTGAAAACCGTAAGAATCTCCAATGTTCTTATTTGTTTGCCAGTCTCAATATGATTTAATTTGTGTTTATTCTGTTTGAACAATAATTGGAAAGTGTAAAATACTAATTAGATCAACAGTGAATCCAATTCTTAAATAATTTGATGTCTAGATCTTGTTGATGCTCGTTAAAGGCTTTAATGCAAACTTACTATTTATTTAAGCCAAAATGAGTTGCAGTAAAATTAGGATAAATTACACAATAGGATAAATTACACAATAAAGAAGTAAACAGCAGTTGTTTGTAGCAACCATGCACCCTGCTTGCTCTTAGTCAGCTTTGTCTGAATGCTCATCTCCTTGAGGTACATGCTGATGTAAGCCTTTGTGTTGTCTGTATTCAGATGAAGTTTTAAATATAATATCTTGATTATAATGAGAAACCACAGCCTGATTGACTTGTTCACACCTCAAGTCAAATGTGATTACACACCCAGGTTTGAGAGTTTCATTTAGACTCGGTGGCTGACATTCTCCCCAATCCTAGGTCAGCGGAGGAAGGGCCTGGATGAAGACAGAAGAATCTGAAATCAATGCTTGGAGTTCATGCTGCTTGTATGTCATTGGAGAGGTATCAGTATGAGGGCATTAGCTGCAGAAAGAGGGAGAAAAGGGGCTTTGAAGATCAGAGTGATTATGTAGAATGGCATCCCAAACTGAGCCTCCTGACAGGGACAGGTGTGAAACATGAAAGTCTTGAGACAGAGTGCTTCCAGTGTAGCTCTCTCAGTTGAAGTCTCCGCTCGCAGGGGTACCTGAGAGTGAAAGATAAAACGCAATGAGAGCCTTTTATATGCACTGGTCCATCTTCACACCTAGAGCACTTTCTGCAGGTTTTGCAGAGTAATTGCGCTGCCTGCTGTTGACTGCTCCGTCCCCAGTATGTGGCTCACTTTGACTGCACCTCTAATTGACACCGATTGATTTTCTTGCTTTTCCAAACATGCCCAGAGATGGGACCCTTGAGGACAGACGAACAGGATGTGGGACTTCTCCATCTGTGTTTGGCCTGAACAAACTCCTCTACATTCTGGGTTTGCACAGTAATCCAGTCACGAAAATCTAGTTTAATTCTGACTTAACCCAAAAAATCCAACCTGAAAACTCATTTTCTTAAAGCTTTGTTTCCATTTTTCCTTCCAGTCTTTTCTAATCCATTAAGTTGCGCTGAACCCAGCTGAACATTTCTGCAGGCTTCAGGGATAGTTACATAAGGAAACTGTGATCTGATTGCACTGCTGACCCAAAATGGCATAAAGACCTATTCATTCTCATAGAACCAATGTGAACCCTGACTGCAATTTCTGGGGCAGACTTAAGAGTGTTTGTGAATAAATAGGGGAAAAAAACGAACTAATCCATCCATACTCACTGCCAAGGATAATTAATTTAAAGCCACCCAAGGCTTTAAATCAGTGTAAAATAGCTGCTAATCCACGAGGAAGGTGATTAAAAATTCACTTACATAATTCATAATAAGCTGTGGTTTTAAACTTTAAATCATAGAAAAATCATGATACAAAGAAATGAACTTTAAAAGACAGAGTTAAATCTGTCAGCTGCAGCCCGTTAAATACATTTATGAAAAACAAACACAATTTAAACACTCATGTCCCATTTACAAGATACCTATTAGATAAATTAAAAACTTATATTTATTATAGCAATTTTATTTACAATCATACAATGTTTACATTTTTTTCTCCTTCTCTAGCTAAAAGAAAGTGAATGAAAGTGAATGCGATAATTCACAAACATCATATAATGATATACAAAGGTAATAAAGCTAAATACCAAAGAAAATATAATACAGATTGACAACACAATGATCCTGAACAGCCTTTTGATTTAAGAAAAGAAAGCCTAACATTACTGTTTTGTAAATGGATCAGTACATGTAAGACAGAACATGTTTTACCTCCTTTAGCACAAATAATTTGAATTTTTTGTTTCTCAAAACCATAAAACAAAGTCTGGCTTCTTATAGACCTACTGCCGAGAAATACCACATATACATAAATACACACCCTTTTTCTGCTGCTCCTGCAAGAAACGCGGAACAAATTACACAGCATTTTCCCCCAACAAATAGATTACCTGGGATGGGATCCGTCTGCGCTTTGAAAGTGATTTATGGTAGGCTGCTATCACACTTTGCTATTCACACTGCAAGGTCATTCCTGGAATAGGAAGTCAACACAATGCCGAATATAAAAGCTTTGCCTGTATTTCTAAGTGAAACGTCATGAGAGAAGGATTATGAGACAATGTTTTATTTTTATGAGGGCACTTGTTTTATAATTTAATCACAAAAATGGAGTTTGTCATTATTTTCATAAAATATAGGGCTTGTTAAACTTCTATTGTTTCCCTGGTCTCAGATCCAGAGGCAACCTCACCTTTAAAGGTGGTCAAGTGCAAACACATTAATTACTCCTGTGTTGAGAAACAGTTCATTAACCGCAAGAGATTATTAAAGGTAATCACCTACATTTATTAAGAATGTCTGTGTATTAGATGGAATGACAAATGACTGTGAACAATAATTGAAATGCTTTTTTTTTTTACACAGTGCGTGGCTCTACCGAGAACTCATTCCCTGAATAACAATGCAAATTCTTTATCAGAGCAAGATAAATTAGTTATTGTGCAGAAGTCATCTGGGCAACACAGAAATGGTATGAGGAGCAAAATGAGTTAGTCTGAGCTTTAGCAGATGAAAATAAACCTGTGGAGAACAGAGATACTGTTCTACTAACAAAGGTGCACAAAACTGAAAAAAAATGTTGTTCTTTTGTTAATATTAAATTATTAATAAAGATTTTATAACTAAACAGGTTTATATATGTCAAATCAAACCTGGAAGAATTATTTTAGATTGCTAAGCTGGCCATATGGCTTGGTAGATCTTTTTATATATTTATATCTTCTTGTTTTCTCAACCAAAATAATTTTTATATACGTAAATAATACCCCTTTATAATAAAATAGCTTTAATGATTTTACAAATAGCCTCTACAAAGTAAAGCTCAATGGTTTCTTTAGTGGTCTGTGAATATAATGAGCCTCGGCATGAAATTCTATTTTTATGAATGCCTACTGATGAACATCTGAGTTCAGAGTGTTCTCTAAATCATGGATGAATAGAGCAGCTACATTTTTTCACTCTTATGTAACTGTACTTTACTCCTCCACATCTCTGAATAGACAAAGCGTGACAGGCCCTGCAGCTTTCTGCAAGATTAACGTTTTTTTAATCAGCCCTGTCGACTTTGCTTTTATTAATAAAAATGGTCCATTTGTTTTTTCATCATGGTAAAATAACAGACGAACACAAAAACCTGCTGTATTTGTTTTTCTTTTAACCCAAATGGTGTGGAATGGAAAAAAATATAAAATAATTCAGTAGCATGTGTCATACACTTCACTTCACTGTATAGAATAGAGTGAACTTTAGCATTACTTTAGACCTCCCAAGTCGTTAGTTTGTGACATGTTTCTACATCCTTATTTGATATTTTCAAAGATAAAATAATGAAAAAAACTTTTTTTGAGTTTTATGAGGCACAGTTGGTAGCAATGACCATGGTATTTTGTGGTAAACAGTTGAAAAAGGGACAGATTTAGTTTCTTGTAACCCCAATAGATTTATTCAGAAGTCTATTCGTTAAATAATTATTTTGCTAGTAATTACTCAAAATAAAATAGAAATACCTTTATCATCCAAAAGAAGGGAAACTTGAGCCAGGGAGTGGAAAACGTAGACGGAAGAAAGCT